AGAGAAAAAAACCATAATTTTTACCGTGATTGTCCTTACAAAAATTACCGTGCAGACGGTAATCGTGGGACAAAGCGACATCTTGTGACTTTTTGACCTAACTTAGACAATTTTTACCGTGCTAATAGTAAAAATCGTCGGGTGCCCAACAAAATCTCCCCCCACTGCTCTTATAAATAAATAGATGTATATAGATGGATTATTGCAATGTAGCATCATTTGTTCAACTCGTCCGTACTCGGAGATAAAAACATGAAATGATTTGAAAAAAAGTACATACGTTACTCATAGTGTCTATGTAAGAACAGTATCCATCCGATAATCCAAAACATTATCATTAATGCAAAAATAACTTTAACCTTAAATCATACAATTTGCACATTCGTTCAAAGAAAGTCTGTTATGAATTTTCAAAGTTTACATTTTTTTTAGTAAAATACGCTGGCTTCGTTGTTTACATCTTAAGCAAAACAGCTCCCCAAATGTTTTTCGTTAAATATTATAACCTGAGAATTCATACACGTGTTCTTGAGACCTTATTGAACAATGTTGTACGAAAAAAAATTTAAATTTTGAAAACTCATAACAGAATTTTTTTTAACGAATATGCGAATTGTATATTTTACGGTAAGAATTATTTTTGTATTAATGAAAATGTTTTGGATTATCGGATGGATACTGTTGTTACATAAACACTATGAGAAACGTATGTACTTTTTTTCAAATGATTTCATGTTCTTATCTCCGAGTTGGGACGAGTTGAACATATGATGCCACATTGCGATAATCTATCTACACATGTGAGCAGTGAGGATAAATTTTGTTGGGTGCCCTACGATTTTTACTGTGCATCACGGTTAAAATTGACTAAGTTAGATAAAAAGTTCCGCAATGTCACTTTGCCCTACGATTACCATCTACACGGTAATTTTTGTAGGGACAATCACGGTAAAATTTAGAGTTTTTTTTTCTCAGTGTATAAATTATTACAATGTTAACTTTTCTCTAACACTTTTAAATTTTACCGTAGCATAATTTGTTTTCCAACACATTTCTTTCAGTGACAGGGCTAAGTGGAACGCTGCCATCGATCACGGGTGAGGACTATGGACAGGCCAGTAACAACAACAGCAATGCTGGCAGTGGCGGCACAGGGACAACCAAGTCCTCCAGCCTGCCTGCTTTTTCACATCCTTACGCTAGGAGCTACCCTCGCTATGCACCTACTTACTCAACTCAGCAGGTTGCAGTTGCAGCAGCAGCAGCAGCAGCGGCTGCTGCCGCAGCCGCAGACGTAGTGTCGTGGACAGGCTATCCCCCCGGGGCTGACTCGGTCTCGGGCTCACAGTACGTCACATCCAACTCCCTTGGGGTAGGCACGGGTGGGCGAAGACACCAACCAACCCAGGCCCAGCCTCAGATAGTCCAACAGCACCAAGCCCAGCATGCCAGTAAGTAAGCTCTTAGACACTCCACCGTATACTTTTGATTTAACTGCCCTTTAACAAAAAAGATTGTCCTTAAATTTAAACGTGCCTTAATTTAGTATGTTACTTGTGTTTAAAATACAACAAAGCATTAGTTATGAACTTTCTCCAGTAACAAGAAAATTTGCTTGTACCAAAAAATAATTATATTATGTATGTATGTTTTGTATTGTTAAAAAATAATTTCTTGAAAACAAAAATTATTTTTTAGTAAGAAATGGTATGTTTAAAAAAAATATGTCGTACCTTTCACTATTTTCTATTACTGCGGGACCTTCATTTTACTGTGACCCATATGTCACGCGTTTATACGTGTGAGGTTAAGGGTTTCATGAATAGGTCCTTAATAGATAACACATTACAAGTTTTTCTGTAAGTTCTTATATACCTAAGAACTGATACAAGAACTTATCTGAGAAATTATAACAGTTCTTATAAATAATTTTTAGCTGGAATAATAAATTTTCCAAATGCATTTACGTAAAAGAGTATAATTTTCCCGCAAATGTAGTACATATTCTTTTTACTATTAAGCATAGAGTTTAGTGTTAAATAAGACTTCTATTATTACTGCCTATGAATATTACGAAATTTCTTTACTTAGCATCCATCGTACAAAAACTTCTATTTTTAAATTATATAAGTATTACCATTAAAAATAAAAAATTAATAGTCCTGCTGAAATAACCAGACTATAATATTTATTTTTCATATTAAAAATGAAATTTGAGTAAAATTTTTTTCTCGAAATTGTTGACAATAGGAATTGATGCTAATGCACGTTTTATTAAGTCTGCTGTAACCCACAAGGCTATCATGACATTCAGCTTTGTGACACATGAATCATATATATAAATTAGGATTATATGCCTAAATATAAGTGTAGTGAAAGAAACTTAGGTACGACAAAAATGAGTGAAATTACACCTATATTAATTCTCTCTCTACACCTATCATGCTTACAACTGCAATATTATATACATGGAAAAATTTCACCCAATCTGATGCATGTTAGAGAAATAATGTTGTACTGTTCTTGATTTTCTGTCTCTTTATTCTTGTCTTGATGTCTATAGGCATACAATACTCCCCCATGCACATAATATTCTCTAAGGACGTCCACTATATATTAAATATCTAGCTAAAAAGAAGGTTTTTTGAAAAACTTAGTTTTTGCAAGTTATTTGGCTTTTGTATAATGAATAAGACTTGATGAAAGACATTAATTGCATTCTTATTCATGTACGTTACATAAATCTTGAACGTATAAAAAATCTTTAATAATGCCTATGCTTAATACGGTACTATTGTTATGAGTCCCTTTAACCCACGAAGTCGTTATATAACACCTATGGGTTAATCCACAGATTAATCGAAACGACTTTTCTCAACAGAAAACTTAAAAATCTTAAATAAATAGTACTATGAGAATTTTACAGTTGCTATTGTTCTAGTTTAAAGTATGGTCAATAAAGTATACTGCAAACATAATAATAGGGTATGTCTAATAAAATCAATGAAAATAAAATTAACAACACTGTTTTTTTATGCGTTCAATTAGAAATCTCCCAATTTGTGCTATACAATATATTGCAATGAGAAAAACCAATCAAATTTTTAAACAGATCTACAAATTGTTTTTTTTTTTGCTTTAAAAAATCAGAAAACAGATGTTCAGTATGCATTAAAGTACATATATATTTAGGTATATTTGTATTAACAAAATGATTGCCATATTTGCGCTTCTCTCACCTTTCTGAACTTTTCCCTTGACAACTGTGATGAACGACTTTAACTCAAAAAACCACCTTAGTCATGAATGAAACAATTGTGATACAATTAAACGCAATGAAAATCAATAAATTTAATAATAAAACCTCGCATGAATAAGCCATTGAAAAGTTGAAATAAATGGAAAACTGCTGGGAAAAATTTTGAAAACTTAAAACAAAATCTTTTAAATTGTAGAAAAAATGATTAAATTTTTTTTAAAATAGCAAACTAATGAAAATAAGATAAATGTCAATTAATATATAAGAAAGCTGCTGATAAAAAAAATTATTTTATAACTTTTTACGAATGATTTTTTCCGCCTTCTAACCTGAAAATAGCACTTTCAACAGGCAA